CATTATTCATTATTCATGGTGAAACTAAATTGAATATGATTTGTCCAGTTGGTAGTGATGCAGAAAAACGTTACGGTCGTCCGTATAACCTACATTGGTGTGCTAATTTGAATAATTCATCAATGTCAACCATGACATCAACTCAGTGACATTTTACAACTACAATAGTCACTATTATAAAATAACATTTAATTAATATAAGCAACTTTATTTACGTCGTTGATAATAGTTAATCTTTAGTGTTTGTAATCTGTGTGCGAAATAGTTAACCTTAGATTAATGAAATGTATTTGTGCACTTCTTTTAATATCATACTCATATATAGTTTCATTCTAGATAAGTATATTTCGGAAACAATCAGGCTTAAGCATATTATTTCTATTAGTCTAAAATGATGAGCTGAAAGCAAGGATGATTAAAAGGAAAAAAGTCTACGACACATTTTTTGTTTTTTTTTTGGTTGGATGTTTTGCATAGTCATAAGGATTCTTTTTATTTATTAGATATATTAACGAAAATCTAATGTTGATTTAATTATGGATATTTACCAACATATACTGAAATCTTCTGAACATCTTGTTTCACAAAATGGTTCAATAACAAAAAAGAAGAAAAAGTGTCGTGGTAATAGAAAATTACAACGTTTACGACGAAAAAATTGAACCAATGGAATGTCTAATCAAGCAAATGAAATGGTAATGCTGATTAAAAAAGCAAATAAATCAATGTATCCAAATATTCAACAAATGGTGAAACCAATAGATGGATCTTTTTTAGTAAATACGGTAAATAATATTATGAATATGTCTATGCCATTGGCAAGTCAGATACAATGAAAATTATTTTTTTTGTAATAAAGATAATTTTCATTTTATTATTTATAGAATTATCCATATGAATATCACAATAGCGAAGAAAATTTAGAAGTTGATTCAACAAATGAGTTATTTTTACTATCCGAATCAGAAGCCGAAGAGGAATGATCTACAACACCATCTGTCGTACATCCAAAGAGAAAGAAACGGTACAATTTATCAAATGATCATTGGAAACAAGTGTCAAAAATCATTTCAAATTATAAAAAATGATTACCTTATCAATTCAAAGATGCATTAATGAAGGTCATTCCTGCTTCGTCTCAACATCAGATGAATAAACTTAGCGCACATTAAAATAGTTGAATGAATCTTTTCTCAAGTGCAAAGATTGAAATCATCATCATCATAAAGGATTTTTCAATGTTACGAGATGAAATTCTTTCTATGTTTAAATAATTCTTCTCAGTTCTTTCACTTCTATTTCTATCACTTTCATACTAACTTTCTTTATTTTTCACTATCCATTATCTTATCTATTATATTCAAATTCAGAGTAATAGAAAATGTTTTGACACGATCAATGCTATTTTAGATAGACATATTGTACACACATAAAGAAAAACAGTTTTTATGTCAAGAGAAAGTTATTCATTCTGTTCGTTCATCGATGATAATTTCATGGATGCTAAAAAGGAAGAAACTACATCGCCGAAGAGCAATGTTCAACAATCGACTTTAGATCGTCCAACACTATTGTCTTGTATATGGCACGACAATCCGTTCGAATGTTTCAAGTACTATATTCATTTTATTTTCTAAGACAGCGAATGAATATCTTATATCTTACATCTTTTTTTTTATTCTAGCATTGATTATATTTGTACGAATCCATCACCAATAGTTCCTCTACAATCATGTTTACTTCCATCAGATATTTTATTCGATTCAAATATATATGAACCAATTGTATCAAATGTCTGTCAGGAAAAAATGATCAATATTAAACAAGGAGAAGAAGACGAAATAATAGTACTAGAATATAATAATGATAATCAAAATGATAATGATCAGGATTATTCAATGTATGAAGAACAATTCGATGAAATGACTCTTTACAATAAACGAGAACAGGAAATGCAAGATCTTCTAGAAATTATTCGAGATACTCAATCTATGGACGATAATACAGTTAATAGTATCGTACACGAATCAAATGGTAGATTACACACCAAAACAATCGAGAACAATAATAATCAACCTTCAAATGAATTACAAACATTACCATCATCATCATCATCATCATCATCATCAGTCATAGTAACAACATATCCTGATCCACCTATGAATCAAACGGGTAGAATTGCTCATCATGATCATTCTTATACTAAATATGGTGATCTTGACCGACAATCTATTGCTAAAATATGTCAATTTAATCTTCAATCACCATCATCATCTTCTTGTCGACAACTAATGCGATTAAATCGTAAATCATTCGCTATTATATCATGGACCAATGTTTCCAAAGATGCTGTAATGAATCATATTAAACGAGAATTCCCTCTAGAAAACATCCAATATATTTGTGTTGGTAAAGGAATCAGTGAAAAAGATCATCAACAAACTTTAGAGGTACAAATTATTTTTAAAGAAACAATCAATAAAAAAACGCGATTTCTTGATGGAATTACTCAAACATGTTGTAATTATAAAGTGACAAAGAATGTTCTTGCATGGAATGACTATATTAAAAAAGATATAAACTGTCTTGAATTTGGTCAATTTGAATCGACAACATCTCATAGATGTAAATATTCGTCATCACTCTCATTATCAACAACTGCAGCAAAATCAGCAGCAGCATCAGAAGCGATACTCGAAGCAACAGCAAAAGCAGCAAAAAAAGCAATAGCAAAAGCAGTAGCAGCAAAAGCGATAGCCGAAGCAACAGCACAAGCAGCAAAAAAAGCAATAGCAAAAGCAACAGCAGCAGAAGCGATAGCAAAAGCAGCAGCAGCAGCAGTAGCAGAAAAAAATGCCGTCTCTATTTCTATTCCATTCGATCAGAATCAACCATTAGTTCTAAAAAGAAAAACAACGGTAGAAGCACAAGCAGAAAAAAGATGTAAATATAGTAATGAAATACCGGAACAATCACTTGAACTAGCACAAACAAGTATGCTTTTAAATAATGAATCTATTGATAAAATTCACCAGTATAAACAAAGATCTGAATACTATTATTCACTAATTTGACTCAATAATAGGAAAAGATATATCTATGAGTGACAATTATTTTTCCATTTTCATCTTTTCATTTATTATCAGCACTTCTTAAACATGTATCTATTTCATTTTTATTCTTATTCAAACAAAGTGTCATTTTCAAAAAAACTTTTCTGTTAGTAGTATTAGTAGTAGTAGTAGTTGTTTTTTATTTACTTTTGACATTT